TTACCTGAATAACACGCTAGTGACGTATTTTAATAGTTATTAAATAAAAAGCACCTACAATCTTGACCTGCATCAGGAGTTATGTACACCATGCGTTAGAAGTTACTATTGTCAAGATTTAAGGTATGTACAGAAGTAGTTGACCTGAGAGAGAAAGTGTAACGGCCATTAATTGCTCTGAGCAAAGTATAAACAACTCAGGAAGAGCCTCAAAGAGGGCGAAACAGCTCCCAGGAGCAAAGCGTACTTAATACCAGACACATGCTTGCGCTGAACAAACATGACAAAGGGCTTTGGCAAACTGCGCTTTCATAAACTGCTGCTGAAAGACATTATCAACACTTCCTCGCCCGCCTCATCTCGTCCTATAAAACATCTGCTTCTTTAAAAAGAACTTACGTACCAACTCTTCAACTAAAAATTGAAAATCATGAGTTTCCCTTCAGGAGGAGGAAGGATGGGAACAAAACATGCCTTCTGTGATTTTACTAAAACCCCCTGCTAATTAAGACCATATATTTCGTATGGGTAGCGAGCACAACATGCAGGTAGCAAATGGGGATTTCTTAAACAAAACCATCTCCTCCGTGAATTCAGATTAGTGATGCCACACTATGGGCTGACTTTGGAAACAGCTGGGACAGCAAGGGAAACTGTTCCACAGAGACTTGGTTGGGCCTGACGAAAGGGAGGCCATGACATGCTTCTGCTGTGGACACAAAGACAGACACAATGTGTCAGGCTCGGCTTTAAATTAAATCCTAAATATAAACTTTTAGATTAGACTTTGTCCAGTTACTCAGTCAGCTTAGAACAACATTACATTACACTGACCTGACTGGTGTAACTCAGTGGGTTGGGCATCGTCCAGCAAAGGGAAAGGTTGCTGGTTCGATTCCCGGTCAGAGTATATGCCTGGGTTGTGGGCCAGGTCCCTGACTGGGGCTATGCGACAGGCAGCCAATCGATGTTTCTCTCACACATTGATGTTTTTCTCCCTCTCTTTCTCCTTCCTTTTGTCTCTCTCTAAAAATAAATAAATAAGATCTTAAAAAAGAAAGAACAGTATTATATGATGCTCTCAGCTATTGTGGACCTTGGTCCTGCTGAGAAGCCCAATAGGTTTCTAGAAATCTGATAATTTCTGTTCTGCTCATTTCCATGAGAGCAAATCGAAGGACACAGCTCTCGCGTGGGTTGCAAGAGAACCTGACTTCCTGCTAACCCCTCCCTCCACCAGCAGTGTGGTCAGAGTGGACATCTCACTGCCTTCCTACATCGGCAGCAACGTGAGAAGCCAGTTCCCAACATGGTTCTCCTATTCCGAGAGTTATTTGTCTGTCAACAGTAATACAGTCAGGGTTGTACAGCTGTAATGCTAATGGCCACTCTCTTCCAAAGAGATGGGGATAAAATATTTCCCTGTACCTTGTCATCACAAACTGTTTTTAAAAAAGACTTTGGAGCTCCTTTCTTTTCTTTGAACTCCCACTGCGGTCGGTCGAGGTCTCTGCAATAGCATTTATCCCTTTCTCCTTTGCATGACAGTTATTTGTGGGGAGGCTTTGAATTCCTGAGGCTTTGGTCATGATTTTTCCTATTATGCCATTCTCTTTAGCCCTGGCGGAGTGCCTGTATACAGTGGAAACTCAGTTGAATGTTATATTTAAACAACAACAACAACAAACATGAATATTCTACAATTAGAATGGAAGCTCCAAGAAGGTGGGGATTTTTGTCTATTTAGTTTAATGATGTGAGCCCCATGCATCTAGTAAGTTCCTGGCACATAGCTGACATTCAATGAATATTTGTCAAATGAATGGATAAGTGTTATGATTTTCCAAAGAGCTTAAGCAGTATTTTATTTGATTGGTAAATAAGGAAAAAGGAATAATTTCTATATGTGCAAAAGAAGAAAGGCTAGATTGGTAATTTCTCCTTTCTCTGGACAAGGGGGTGGCAAACTTTTTTCTAGAGAGCCAGAGAATAAATATATTAGACTTTTTGGACCATACAGTTTCTCTTGCAGCTACTCAAGTCTACTGTTGAGTGTGAAGGCAGCCATATACATTATGAGAACAAATGAGTGTGGCTGTGTTTTAATAAAACTTTATTTACAAAAGCAGGTGGCAGGCAAGATTTGGCCCATGGATGACAGTTTGCTGACTCCTGCTCTAATCCATAAGGATTAAGACAAATTGATAACTATTCCCTCCCAGAAGACAATACTTTCTGCATCTTTACACATACCACATGCCCATCTCTAACAGGTGGCGCAGTGCTTTGCAATTTGGTAGTTGCACAATACATGTTCGTTGATTTAAACTAAACCCTTCTGTAACTGATTTCCTAGAACCACTTTTCAGTTGAAGCAATAAAGTCAGCCCTTGCAACGTGCCTTTTCTTTGAACTCTGTCCTTGCAAAACATGTGGGAAGTTAATAGCTGCTGAAATAGTGTCTTATAAAAGCGGGGCATGTTCTCTCTTGATAGAAAGAGTCCCAGTGCCTCTCATTTGAAGCATTTTCTGCAGGATGTCAGTGATTAACCAGAAGTAGCTCTCCTGATTATCCAGAAGCCCAGAAATGATTAACAACGTTCTCTCTGCCCATTTGAGCTCATGCTTCCTTTGAAGCTGCCTCTCCTCTCAGTCTTTTTAAATAAATTATTTTCATAAAAAGCATCTAAGTGAATGATCATTGGTATCTACGATGGGCAAAAATGTCCTCCCACATTTCCTTCTCTAATGACTACAAAAAATGTGGTATTTGCGTAAGTTTTGTTAGATTGCTGTACTATTTCAGGCCAGACATGTGTTCCATATGGTGAAAGTCTACATATTCATCACTGAAAAAGAATCAATGTTTTACAATGTTTAAGTAGTACTAATGTGGAACAATGTCATCATATTAATGTGGCCCTTTTTTATACTTGCACCACCTATCTGCAAAACATATTTCTCATTTTGCTAAGTGTTGGCCTCACTTACGAACCAGGCCTGATTTCCTCTTTAGCTGCAAATTTAATTTAAAAGAGAACTCCAATGAGATTACTTGCTGAACATGTTAAACATTCATATGCTGTTATTCAAATTGCACTGATTCATATCAATTTGGGTGCAGCTAGATAGCACTGATTTCACCGGATAGCAAGAAATAATTTTTAAATGCAAATAAAACACTTTAAAAAAGAAATAACTTTTAAAATGTTATATTTGCATCTCAACTTTTGTTGAATTAAGAAGAATGTATTGTATTTATAAATTTGTGGAGACAACTGACTTTTACATATTAAAAACACAGTTCTATACTTGGTGACTGCTAGAAAAATTGAGATGTATAAAAGTCCAAATTTATATAATAATAACCTGCTAGTTAAGGGCATAGATTACTGAAGCTAGTAATCAGGTTTTAACTGATTCAGCCATTGGATTGCTTTAAAACCTTGCTTTCTTCAATGGTAAAATGGTAAAAGACAAAAAAAAAAAAGATGCCAACCTAACAGGGTGGCAACGAAGATTAAATGAAATAATGCATATAAAGCATGCGACACCTACGAGAAGAGTAATTTCATGTGATTGGCCCAATAATGAGTAGTTATCATTAGCTATTGATGTCTACACCTTGTATTTCTGTTTATGGTCAGCAGCACATTGTAAATAAATGGTGGAGAGATGCTTGAGGATATGGGAGCCTAATGGGAATCCTGGAAAATGATTTAGCAAACTTAAAATTTGCTGTAAAAAATAACAAGGTCCCCACTATAGTCCATAATGCCAATCCATAAAAACACAAAAGTAAAACGGTAGAAAGTCATAGGATTCCCTCTTCACAATAAGGGCATCAGTAATACGGCATAACAGTGTTAAGTCTTGGGGGGACTGAGTAACGGAGTGCTCATTTTAAGCACACTAGGGAGGAATATAGAAAGGAGCACTGTTTTTGTGTCTACTGTGTATTCTATCATATTACATTCAGAGGAGACAGAAGCTTCTTAGAAGTAATTACTTTTGGCTATAATAAGTAAACATATACAGTGTAATGAGTATTCATACATACTTAAGTCTGTAAGAATATACAAAAGGCCAAAGAGCCTTTAGCTTTTTTTCCCCCTAAATTGACTTGAAGCGTACATTCAAATGTAGATGGATTCCCTCCAGGTCAGTGTTCTCAATGGGGGTCAGTGTCGCCCTGCCACAGGGGCCATGTGGCAGGGTCTGGAGACAGTTTTTGATGCTGCAGCTTGGGGTGGGGGATGTCATTGGCATCTAGTGAGTGCCCTCTGGGGCTGCTGCTACATATCCTGCAATGCATGGGACAGCCTCTGCAACAGAGTTCTCTGACTCAAATGTTAATCATGCCAAGGACGAGAAACCCTGCTCTTGCTAATCACTGTTGAGAGTCAAATGGTTCTAAAATCACCCACAGCCCAGGCGGGTCTTGAGGAGAACCTAGGGAATGGTGGACTTTTTGTCAACATGGTCAAATCTTTCCAGTCCTATATGCTGGTTCCGCCCTAATGAACCAGCAGCTTGAGTAGAAGTATGGAGTCCGTATCCTCAGGAAAAGACTGGCAAATGACTGTAAATGCCAAGATCGTAGTTTACAAAGTACTACACCTACTTTACTTACCAGGGACTTCAGCATTGAGAGCAGCTGCACTTCTGCACGAATGACAGCAACCATCCACACTTAGCCTTTAACCAACCAGGAGGCTAAGGGTTTCTGGGTCTGGGATTTCTTAAGCAACATAAATTCCCACGGACAAATGACATATCAGGCAACAATAGCATAAAAGTAAAGATTAGTTCCCATGTAAAAATTGAAAGCACTGTCTTTCGGTTCTCTACTCCCACAAAATGGAAAATCTATTTTATGCATCAAATAGAATCTTTTCCTTTACAGGTACTCTTGCACGAAACCTGAAAGAGCTGCTGAAAGGTCGCAGCCATAAACATGAATAGTGCCCAAAGGCTGAAGTGTATGTAATGGACCTTACTTTGGAGCTTCTGATTCTGTACTTGGGGTCATCTCGGTGCTGCTGAAGAGACTCTCTGTGACCTCTGTATTTGGAGTATCTCCCACCAATTCTCTCGGATAAACTGTGGGAATCCTGGAAAAACAACAAAGTGTCTGAGCTGCTAGATGAAAGAAAGCTCAGTACATGAAGTTAGAATGAGAAAGTATTGGTATGTACAAAATAAATAATTACAGAAGTTTAGAGAGATACTTAGGGGAATCATTTGTCCCTAAAAGGATAAAAAGGAAATGGTCACTTTGGATGATACCATGAAAATAAAACGGGCCCACATTGGTTATTTGCACTCTTTTTACAACTAGTCCCTTGATAATCTGAAATGATCGACACCCTTTAGTTAAGCGGAAAACATTTCAAGTAAATTGTCTGAAGATGGTCATTAATGACATCATGCCACCTTTGGGTGTGTGTACTGTCCTCGTACTTGGCATAAAAAAGGTTACCTTTAAAACTAGAGCCCTTTTTCTTCACTAATTCTTAAACAACATTTTACTCTTTAAATATCATAGCACATAGGCTTTTTTTAAATTTTAGGATATCTCATCTGACCTTAAAAGCATAAAATATTCTGGTAATGAAGAATTTTAAAAGCAAAAATTCCCAGGGCTGGTGGGCCTCCCTCCCTCCCTTCCTTCCTTCCTTTCCTTCATTTTGGGACAACAGGATAAAACACAGCAGTCACTACAGCCATTTATTTAGACATTAACATTATGAATTAGAGAGAAATTAGAAAATTAGAGTGAGGGCAACTGATTTTCACGTGTAAGAAAAATCATCCATGGCATTTAGTTCCCCAAATAGTACCAAACTAGAAATATTAAAATTCCAAAGTTCTCATTTTTTTCTGTAAGAAAAGCTATGATGCCTGGGAAGCAAAGAATGAGCTGTCCAAGGCTAGGCAATTTGTGGTGGACATTGAAACGTGGGATTGTAGAGCTGAACCACTTCTTTTGAAATGGGCTTAAAAAAATGAGAGAGTATGACACATTTAAAGAACAATCAAGTCAAGACTATAGAAACAGGATGTGGTTCGTATTCACACTCAGAGTCATAGACTACAGTGTTATATGAGATAACTGCTAGTGACTCCGGCATGAAGTAGGAGCATACAGATCAAGTTACTCAAGCTCCTCATCTTATGGATGAAGAATATCCACTGAGATGTAAGTGATTTTGTCTGGCACGCGAGCGCAGATTAGAACCTACTTCTTTGGACTCTTGTTCACAGCACGCTGATGTTTAGAAAGTTTTAGAAGTTTGAAAATTATAATCTACAACAATCTACATCTAATGATCTGAAGGTCTTATGTGTCTTTATTTAAGGCTACATCTAGTTCTAATTAAATTTATTAAACAAGCTCTTTTTAACCACATAGATGGCTTTACAATACATATAGACTGGGCTTCAAGCTAGAGGCAACAGGGCAAAGTGGAAGGGCTTTGCTGTTAATACCAAGAATTACATCCCAGTTCCAACTAATTTACACAGTCCAAGCTTCAGTGCCCTCAGGTGTAAGATGGGGGACAGGGAGACCCTCAAAAAATGTAATGTGACGTTGCGTACTCAGTGCCTGCCATGTAGCAGTGCATAATACTTGCTAACAAATTCCTTTCCATTTTACAGTGAAAGGTTTCAATTTTTATCAGCAATATTGGAAAGTACAATTATGAACTTTGAAAAATATTCCTCCCCAAAATTTCACTATATAGGCATCTTCAGATGTTAGTATATGTATATATAATCTAGACTTGTGTATATTCACTAGCCTATATGATAAAAATAATTAAAAAACCTTTTGGTAATAGTAGAAAACAGAACTTTTAAATTGTACTTATGAATATTCTGTTCTACGTGGACCGCTGGGGAAAAAGTGAACTGTCACTAAAGATTAAACTTTATATTTTTATGCTGGCGTAACACAGGCATCTGTCACAGGCATCAGTGACACATGCCACCTGTTTCCAGTGCCCTCTCTTGTCTGCCCTTCCTTCATGTAGATGACTTGTGGTCGCTGCAAAGAAAAAGGTAGAAAGGATATGGGTGTAACACATTGCCTGCTGTCCACATCGGGTAATAAGGGTGGGTCAAAACCACATCTTCTCGGACGCTGGTTTCATAAAACTTGGGTAGGGTCTTAGACTGCAAATATATAATCAAATCATGAAAAAGAACCAAAACTTTAAGCACTTGCTTTTGTCGTCTTTGTGACAGTCTAGATTTCTGGATGTGTCATCTCAACCCTTGATGCCACCCAAAAGTGTTTAGTGAATGAAATACCAAAACACGCTTTGTGAAAGGTGGGACAGTACGGATGTGGGGAGGCTCATCACACCAGTGCCTGCAATAAAACAATAGGGCACAATCGAACTGTATTTCCTATTCATATATCCTCAAATAATATACTACATTTAAACAGAATATAACATGAGTTATATTTTAAAGACAGTGTGAAACAAGAGGTTAAAAGCTTTTCAAGTGAATTTTCACCATTGTTAACTTCAGCCATACAGGGTGAAGAAATGAGAAATCACTAACATTGTCCACTGTGCATGCATCCCTAAGCGGGTATGTGAGGATGCTCTTGGCCTGGACCTGGTCTGACAGAACTGGGTGGCAGGGTTGTTTGCTTTGCATCTTTTTCTCTCTGTGAGGAGCTTTGAAATATTATACAAGGTAAAGCCACACATATATTAATTGGATTTTTAATGAAATGCTTTGTGGTTTGAGTTCTATCAATCATTGGCATGGGATATAAAATCTAACACTCTGAGTGGATTTCAATTTACACATCAGTATAGAGATAGCCTGTGCACTGTCATCTCTCTAAAGCAAACAATACTCTGGAAATTTGTAATTAAAGGAAGATAATTCAGAAATTGAAATTGTTTATCAAATAAGTTTATCGATACATTGTACAACCTCTTTTAATTCTTAGGTATTTCTAAACCATAGTTAAAGCTTTAGAAGGCCAAATGACCTCCTAGCAGTAGAATAAAAGCCTCTATTTTCCTATATCGTGCTAACATGTAAGTTCCATTATTTTCCATCCTGACATCACAGATGTCAATAAACTCTGACAACATGGAATGTTAGAAGTCCCCAATGTTTTTTGGTCTTCCCTTCTCCCCTACAATTTTCTTTGCACATCAGGAAGATGCCAAGTGTTCTCACTAAGATGAAGATACTGAAAGAGACAAGCCAACTCTTTCTCACTCGGAAGCCTTTGAAGTCTTCTAGCAGGCTCAGTTTCTCGGGCACTGACTCCAGATGGTCCAAGGCCACTCGGGTGCTCTGGGAAAGAACACATTAGGCAACCAAACGTTATAAACAGTTTATCAATACTCTCGGAGCCCAGCTACTAAAATTCAGTTGTACCACTGGTATGAGCAGTTCAAGTGGTAGACTTACAGAATCAGATAAGAACACATACAATAGTACTTCTAGGATAAATATAACTTTTTAAATCAGAAGAATGCTTTCCCTTTACAAAGCATATGAGACTCATTTGCAAGACAGACTCAGAAATAAAAACTCTTCCAGGACAAGTGCTATCAACTGATATTCTATGAAACTTTCTCATACAGCATTTCATATTAATATTCATTTGCAAAACTGCTTCAATGAATATCAAGAATAAGCCGCAAGGTAATACCAAGAAATAGGTGAATTTGCAGTTATTTATCTGTGAAGCATATCAGAGATCCTCACATGTTGCCATTATAATAAAGAAAAAAGTTCTCAACGATTATTTTAGTTAAAAAGGAAAAGAGAACAGTTTTCTAGACTTGGGAGAAATATCTGAAATTAAATATTTACAACAAGAATACTAGATACTGTTAATTATATGAATCAATTGCTCACACAGTCTTTTGATTAGCTGGTCGCTGATTTACACCTACCAGTATAAACACTATGAGGAAATGATCTTCTAAACATTATTTCAAAGCCAATGTGAACTAGGAGTTTAAATGTTAGAATAATCCTGAGACTGGAGACTGCACCACATGTACGGAACAGGCAGGCAACAGGTATTAGCTTTTAAACTTGAAGTGAGTCATAACTATTCGATGAAATAGATGACCAACCCCATGGCTGGTACGTGAGAAGGAAGGGAAGAGTCTCACGAGAACCTGGACACAACTTGGCACATTGTTGTAGAGAGTTAGTGACCACACAATGTTCCACGTGCTCTCCCACATCCCCCAGGCGAAGTTACGAACACTACACTTTGACTGCAAATGACACGGGTCACTTCTGGGATGAGACAGCTAAGTGTGCCAGGCTCTTCCATCCTACTCTCTACCATAAGGACTGTGGAGGCTCATGCTCTAGATGGCATGGCTGCAAGACAGAGGAGGATCACTGATTGTATTGGACTTCATATGAAGGAGACGACCTCTATTGCATTAAGCCATGAGGTTTCAGGGACAGTTTAACACCAATCCACAGCATAGCATTAATCATTGCAAATAATGCCTGAGATTTACGTAATTAAATGTGGACCCATCAGATGGTCGGCCACTGGCTTTTTTTCTGGGGGAGTAGGGTGGAGGCTCCAAATTAGGAGTATATGAAAGTTTTTTCCCCCCTTAGGGGAAGTTCAGTTTTTCTGGAACTAGAGGAGGTTAGGAACTGGTGTCCTCATCATTTGGTATAACCACTTTCACTTAATCTTCCTATTTTAAATCCTTTTTTCACTCCAGTGCTGTTCTCTGTCTTCATGTCCAATCCAGAGTTGCTCCAGAGAATATTCCTATGTCTCCGCAGGGTTTGTGTGGGGACCAGGGTGGAGGCAGAGCTGAGGGTGTAACTCCTCCTGGCAGATACTTTCAGTGTACTCATTTCCACCCTCTCCTTCTGCAGTAATTAGTACGTCCCGTTCAAAAGCCTCTGTGAAATTCTGCATGAGTGAGACTAGCTCTCCATTGCTGTCCCATGGGCAGGCACCTGGTTTTCACTTTCTCTGTTCTGAGTCATTTGACCATTTTTCTTTTAATGTTCTTCAACTTTAAGTTATGTATGTCTTCTAGTTGTCAACTTATAAATCAGTGTTTCTATTTCTCCATATTCTTATTTTTCTAATGTTAATCTTTGAGAGAAGAGCAGCAACACCCTTAGCTCACCATTTTGAAGTTGGAAGTCATATGTGCTTTGTATTCAAGTTCACAGAGTCTTCCTTTCCAAGTTCCATGTAAAGGATTCAGTATTTTGCTCCTTCTGGTTAACATTTATAGCAGTGAGTTTCAACCTTTTGCCTATCATGGCACACATAAACTAATTACTAAAATTCTGCAGCATGCTAAAAATATATATTTTTTGCCAATCTGACAAAAATAATTTTGATTCATTCATACTGGACGGCTATTGTTGTGTTGACTGTTGTCATATTTTTTTATTTGACAATCCACGGGAAAAGAGGCCAGTGCCCCTTACTAAATAGCAAGGAACTGCATGCTTTAACAATTCTTGCAGGGCCCAGTGTACTTCTTGCAGCACACTGGCTGATTCATATGCTTGTTACACTTTTTTACCCACAAGTGCTCACTTGCACCGCTGGCACTGTAAATGGCTTCATTTAATTTCTTCATGTGTAGGACACATTCATCAAAATGGCATGTTTCTCGATACAGGTGCAACACAGAGTTGAAGAGAGCAAGTAGTTCATATGTGCTATATGCATTTAAATAGCAAAGTTATAAATTTCCTCAAGAATTATATTGGCCCTTAAACAATACAATACAAATGAATGCCATGGTGATTTTCAAGCAAAATGTTATGCTTTGAATAAAGTTTTCATAAAAAATGATTCCAACAGACTTGTAGTTTTAAAACCATATTTCCCTTTTTTATCCTATAATTTTTCACATTTAGAAGTGACCCTCTGAATCTGGGTTAAATATGTTAAACCCACTTTGTTATTTACATAAGCAATAATCTCTTTCCCTAGTGTAAAATCTAACATGTTATGTATACAGTTTTGCTTAAAATTTTCAATCGCCCAAGTGCTGCATGAGACATTTTTTTCTTACATGTTTCACATACTAGTTTATTTTGACTATTTGATTATGCATTTGGATGCATATTCAAATGGCTCCCTTTTTTGAGTGAATCATAAAAAATGTGTTGGCTCCTTCTTTTTAAATGCAGTTATTTTTCTACTCCTCACTCCCACTCTCATATCTATATACTTTCGTATCTATATACTCATCTCTATACACTTTACACTCTTCACTAATATCTTTTTATACTTTCTTATTATCCAATTTTAGTTGTGGCTTATTTTAATTTATGTGTTATTTCTAAATATCTTCCTCACCATCACAAATGCTCTCTGGTACACATACCTTTCTCTTCATCCTTATATTCTCACCAGTCAATTAACATCAAATGTACATCTAGATAACATAGAAAGACTCATAAAGCACAGTTAGTGCAGTTCCTATTCTTTTAAGTTAACAGGAGGAAGAATATACATATGCAAAAGACGTAAGAATTACACAAAGAAAAAAGCCAACTGCATTTACTCTAAGGAAATTACACGTACAGATGCTAAGACTTCTAAGCCATCTGCAACAATAAGAGGCAAACTAGTGAGGGCAGTGGAGTCTGGGCCTTCAAGCATCTTAGGTCTCATAATTTCATGATGAAGAGGTATGTTGGGGCACATTTATTTTCCGACTGTCCATCCCTCTCTGTATGCATATAAGGGTGCTTACAACCACCACTTGGGCATAGAGATTTAAGAGTGTCAATAGTATACCCAAACTTTTCTTTTTTTAAAATGTGAGATTGGCTCTTGTCACATTACATGTCATTGCAAGCTGACTTTTTTTGACTGAAGTTTTATTTTTTATTTAATCTTTATTGTCTTTTTCCATTGCCATTTGATCCCCTTACATTCCCTTTTCCCCAGTAATCACCGTACTGCAGTCTCTGTCCACAAGTGCTTTTCCCTTTCTGCTCACTCTCCCTGCCCCCGCAAGCTCTCATCCTGCTCTCCACCTGAGTCTGTCCCCGTTTTTCCTTGTTAGTTTGTTCACTGGATTCCACATATGAATGGAATCATATGGTATTTGTCTTTCTCTGATGGGACATTTACACAGAATACTACTTGGCCATAATAAGGAAGAAGATTTTACCCTTTGTGACAGTAAGGAAGGACCTGGAGAGCATGATGCTAAGGGAAGCGATCTGACTTTTCCTCAAGAGCTAACAAGTGCTTTTCCTCAAGCACTAGAGAGGCAACAACCAGTACCAGATGCGTAATCTAAAAAAGGAACATGCTAAAATTTAGAGATGCCATAAGAACAAAATACCTCACCTAGAGTCAGGGAAACTGTTTATATTTTAAATTGATTAACTTATAGACAAATCCCCACTGTTAGAATTAAGGGAACAATTTCTCAAGTTTATTTAATGATGACACCAGCAAGTGAAAGGTGCTTAACCTGTCTTTAATATTCTTAAATCAATTTTCTAGAAGAACTAGGGGGTCAAAAACTGTTTCTCTTTCGAAAATGTTACAAGATCTTAAATTTCATGTGAAGTCTGAAAACAAAGAAAAATCCACAAAATTAAGGCTTATTTCATAAAGGACTGATGGTGTGTATAATCCTCGGTTTGTCTCAGAGGCTTAAAGAGCTGACCTCCCACTGGTCTAGGAGAGGTGGCAAAGCAAATGAGCAATTGTTCCTAACACTGTTAAGCAGCATAATGAAAACTAAGCCATAAAAATGTCATTCAATTTTGAAAAATTTCTTCATCCTCACTTTGCCCTATGATGTAGATACTATTGTTATCCCCATTATACAGATGAAGCAACTGAATAACCTCCTCACAGTCTTCTGTTAGCAAAAGGCTGATGCAAATCCAAGTTCTCTGTTATAATGTGGCAATTTTCTTATAATTTTTTGCAGTAAATCACCAGATGAAAAGGAGAGCAATCAGAAGGTGTAACAGTGAGTACGTTATGTAATTCCTAATTCCTCTCTAGGTATTAACTCTTAGCAGCTACAGTTTTGGAGATATGTCCTTGATAGACTTATTTCTGGGAGAGAAGTTCTTTGAACCCAGGAAGAATTTCAATTTGCCAGTGTTAAAGAATCTGTCCTCCAGACTATGCATTCAGGCATATACGCACACAAGGGGTTAGGATACTCTTTATGTTGGTGAGAGGAAGCATGAGATCGGAGTTGTATGATATTAACATCTTCTATTTTGGTGACATTGAGCACTAGCATAGCACACTATCTGGCCACAAGAGGGGCTTCAATAAATTTTGGTTGAATAAAGCCAAAGGCAGAGGTACCATGTTCTAATTAGCCCTCTGACTCTTGGCCTCTTTATTAAAAACCCAAAAGCAAAATTTGCTGTTGCATTTATTTTCTCTAGCATAAGGGCCAGACCAAGTGATAGAAACAACAGTGACATTCAGAAATCCAGTCTATTAGGCCCTGTGGCTCTTGCACCTACACGTGTGTTTAGATGTCTGTTGAAAAGGCAAAGAATGAGCTAGAAAGTTTACTATCCCCAAATCTTCAGCGCACACCAAACTGTGTAGATCTGAGCACTTTGTACTGAGTCCACAGAACATTTTTCTTCAGTCATCCCCTTGTTTCAGAAGACCAGAGATACTGAGTGGGATAGCATGATAATGTAAGTAGTAGCACTTAGGAATAAGGATGGGGTTTCACTGCAGTTCTTAGATTCTTGTTTCCTGTAGAGAAAGCTTAAGAAACAAATTTAACCATAGGAATATTTTAATAAATACACTTCTTTTTATAAAAATGCATGTGCTTATTTTCTTATTAACATACAACAATTGCAATTTTCTTAGAGTGCTATTGGAATCACATGTTTTGAGGCTCAGGCGATAAATAAAGAAGATGCTGTCTATAATTTTATTTTATTTTAAAGTAAGTGTGTGCATTTTTGGCACTACACAGATATTAAATAAACAAGGTTATGGAGCAGCTTATTTGGGTTCAAAAATGCAATTCTATTTCATTTGGAAAGGGCTCCACTGCAAACCTTTGACAAATGGCTGAAAGATGGTAAAAGGACCTGAGTAAACAAGTTTCAAGGAGAGGAAGGGTGAGATCATAAAAAGGACAGACTGTCTGACTTTTCGCTTGTGGTGGCTGCATCCAGCACAGCTGTACTGGCTTCCCGGGGCCTTCTTTCCATCCAGACTGTGGAAGGCGCTCGCTGGAGCCGAGCTGCACAGTAGCAGAGCACAGGACGGCAGGGCCCTCGTTGATGCACGTCCTTCAGAGCACCCCTGTGCTCGGAGGTGTGTGGATTTCCTGGAGTGTGAGGAAAACCTCCAATTTCTACACTGTGCACACTGAGAGAGGCCTAAAGATCAGACACCCTCTTAGAGGTGTTTGCATGTGTCTTGGGGTAAGAGGTGCGTGAGGTTCATTCAATAAAAACACCAGTTAATGTGGCAATGACATCAGTGACTATATTTGAGCTAATATCCCAAAGAATTTTTGTCAACAAATTCTATTTGACTTCATACAACACTGTTCTAATCAAAAGTGGCAGGTCTCCTTTAAAAAGTAAAAATGTATACAATTGGACAATAATTAGTAATCTTTACTGGAAAAGTTGGATGAAAAAGGCTTTCTAGGTATTTTCTCTTATTTATAATAATTTTTTTAAATGATGAACTACATGAATCCACAGAACCTGCCATTCCAGATTATTGCTTTCTTACTTTTATATATAAACAAATTATAAGTTCCAGTCAACCCATGACCTTATTGTTAGTTTAATTTTGGGATTTTTAAAAAATGAATGAGTTGAAGGAGAAAGGAATAGAGAGGGAATAAGGAAACATATCTCTTCCCCATGAGATTGTTCCTGCCTCTCTGACATAAAGGAAAAACCACACACAAGAAAAACAAGGACTAGCTGAGTGATCTCTGTATGCTGAACAATGAATTAGACCCTTGCAACGGGTGTGCAAAGAGGAGGGTCTTGAGATCCATAAACTAATTCCGTAAAATAACTCACAGAAATTTCTCAAAACTGAAAATAAAATATACTTACAAAGAAAATTAAAGATATTTGTCCCCAAAATGTGATTGCCTGTTCATAATGGGCAAATAGTACAAGCAAAGGTTTCCTGGAAGAGACTGAGTTTAGCAATTTCTGTGAAAGCGGGAGGTAAAGAAACTGCTTTTGGATTTACTGGTCCCAGATGTGCGTGTCACGCTGTCCGAGGAACAGTGGCGAGGTGGAAGGCGTGCTGAACTGGAAATCAGCACACCTGCTTGTGGGTAGGCATGGTTCCAGTAATGTCACTTTCTTGTACTTTGTGCTTTGGGGTATACCACTTTTCCCTGCCCTCCCAAGCCTCAGCCTCGTTCATTCATTCAACCATTCACTCACAAAATGAGGATAAATCGTGATGGTCTTCATTATTTCGCACCCACAGGATAGCTGTCATTATCAAGTGAGCCCATGGATGGGAGAGTGCACTGAAAATTGGCAAGTACTCTCCAAATAGCAGGTATTTAAAAACAAATGCTGATTCTGCGAGGGGCTATCAACTCTAGTAACTCTGAAATTATAGAAGGGGAGGTCAGTGATAATTTAAAATAAGAGCTAATAAAAATTAGTCAACAGAGTATAAAGTGTGAACAAGGCAAACTTAATTAGCACTGTACCCAATATTTAGAAATATATCTGTTGCTCTACAGACTCATCCAAAACATAAAAATAAGAGTAATAGCATATAAATCACTTTTGTACATACTGTACCCTCAGCGGAGAATGCTCCCTCCAGTCTCCTTATCTGGTTAAAACTCCCTTCCCCAACATTACGAGCATTTTCAAGCATACAGCAAATCTGAAAAAAATTGATAGAGATCACCCATACACCTACCACCTAGATTCTGCTATCGATATTTTCTTATATTTGCTCTATCACACATGAATCCATCTATCTATCCCTACTTCTATTCATTAATCAACTTATTTTTTGTTTTTTTTTAAAGATTTTATTTATTTATTTTTAGACAGAGGGGAAGGGAAGGAGAAAGAGAGGGAGAGAAACATCAATGTGTGGTTGCCTCTTGTGTACCCCCTACTGGGAACATGGCCCACAAACCAGACATGTGCTCTGACCGGAAATCGAACTGGCAACCCTTTGGTTTGCAGGTCAACACTCAATCCATTGAGCCACACCAGCCAAGGCTGACTCATTTTTTGCATACATTGGTACACTGTCCCCTAAAGACCTTAGCATGCATACCATTAACTCCATTTGAATATTTATTTTTAATGTAAAATTTACATCTAATGAAGTGTATAAATCTTAAGTGTTTGGTTAACTTTCATTGTCTTTCCAATCTCTCATCACTTCTTCAGTGAAGGCAAACGTCAAACAATGAGCCATGAGCCTTCTCTTTATAACTTATTAGAATGCTAATGTTACATTGGTTTGTGTGGTTGTTTGATTATTGTTTGTGCTGACACTGGGTGGTAAGCATCAGGAGGGTAGGAAGTGTCTGTCTTGCTGCTCACCAGTGTCCCCCAGCACCTTATTACAGTGCCTCCATAAAAGATGTATTGCTTCTTGAATGAACAAACAAGTCACTCAATGAAGGAAATGCTTTCATTCATTTATTCAATCGGCAAACATTTATTGAACGCCTACTCTATGTTCTACAACTGAGCTGAGAAAGAGCATAGCATGAGAACAGAGGTGCCTGGGGCAAGTTCCTAGAGAGCATTTTAGGCCACAGAAAAATTTTTGTACTTAATTCTAAATGAGACAGAAGGTCTTCTGACAGTGTTGAGCAGAAGAGTGACATGCTTGCATTTATAGCCAAAAGAACTCCTCAAATATTTCCTGCAGATTCCTAACCCCCCATCCCCAATCAAGAGAACAAAGGAAGTTTGGGAGTCCTGATAGAAAATGAGACAGGCACCTCACTCCCAGGCTGGGGGCCTGCTGAGTAGCAGAAGTTCCAAGACCTTCCTCAGAGGGGCCATCTGGGTGGAGCTCCGTGAGACAGTTATTGGGAGAACATACTGAATCCCAAGAAGGCCAATGGTGCCACAGCCAAAACTCTGGATTTACCCCAAATACTATCACAAAACATAATAAGAACATGTATAACATTAGATTATTTATATTAATTAGATAAGATTTTTATTTGTAATAGATAGGTATATCTGTTTGAGGACAGGCGGCAAGACATAGTGATTAAGATCAGTGGTTAGAAATCCAGAGATACAAAGTTATATCTCAGTTGTATGAACCCGGGAAACTCATTTAACCCGTGGGATTCAGTTTCCAAATGAGGAAAATAGGAAAGTAGGGTCTGAAGATGTCTAAGGGCCCTTCGGGCTCTAGATTTAGTCCACTGTAGCTTTAGCATCTTTCCAAAGTAGGATTGAATCTGATTTTTAAGCTTCAAAAGTTGGACAGACAATAGAAAATGTTTTTATAGAGAGGAAGTAAAATAAAGACAAAAACATGCATGGGATTCTAGGGGTTAATGTTTACCCCAGAACACTGGTGAGGTGGAGACATCTTCACTCTGCAAAGCTAACGGTTGCATGAGAAAAACAGGAGGAAAGACATTTTTTGTCTTCTCGGGTGCTTGCCCCATCAAATGACCAACTCCAGATATTCTCATTTTGTGTTTTTAGAACAGAAACTTCCAAAAGTAGACAAAGAACTTGCTTATTTTTTCACTTTATAATTGTCCTAACAAAACAAATATTAAGATTTTACAGTTTTTCCCTCTTCTAAATATGGCTTACTAAATAGATTTTGGTTCTATTACCATAAGTGTTATTCCATAATGTTGCTTCTCTCCTCAAGCTCTGTGCCATCGTGACTTTGCAAATGAAGGCCCATCTGTTAAAATATCCTCTGCACACTGCCATCAGCTCACTGATGCCCCTTCCGCAAGACCTGGCTTGGTCACTACCTCCTCTAACATGACAGTTAGAGGGATAGGCTCTGGAGGAGTTAAGCCTGAGTTGAAATCCTAATTTAGTCACCTACTGGCTATGTGTCCCTACAAAAATTCCTAGAGATCTCTGCAGTGGGAGTCAGTTTTCTCATCTATAAGGAGGAGTAATAATAATACCCATAGTGAAGAGCTATTGTGAAGATCAAATATATTAACATATGTAAAGTGTTAATATACACTTTACATGTATATTACCATGAAATATACTCACTCAGTGAGGGCAGGGCACTAGTCAGCAATGAACACTGGCAATGATCACAATGACAACACTAGTTGTTGTTCTGCAAACTTCTCCCCCAAGGTCTGGGTGAGTTGCCCATCCTCAGTGCTTCCTACCCACAAACATGTCTCTCATCACAGGCCTAACCATTTCCCCTCTGTAGGTTTACTTGCCCCTTTCAGTGGACAGCAAATTCCTTAGCGGTTGGACTATATTTTTTCGCATATTTCCACTGCTGAGTACTTGTATTACATAAAATAGATTTTAGTGTTATCAATAAAACCTTCTCCAAAGAACAATAAAGACACACTTAGAAGTTAGAAATGTGAAAAGAAGAATATAGCACAAGTTACTTTTGAAGGTAGAATTTGAAAAAATGACTTGGAGAGTCAGAGAAGGTTTCCAAATAGACTCAAAAATAAAAAAATAATAATTTTAAAAAACTGGAAGAAAAATGAGGGACAGTCAAACTGTGTCAAATGGTCTAGACAGTTAAAGAGAGGAAGATGAGAACAAAATCTTTGTGCAGATTTGATAAGATAAAGAGGAAACGTGTGATGTGAAGAGCAAGCTGCCTCCTGTGGATGAGATGATGGGGACACGGGAAACAGGGCCGACGCTGAAAGTGCTCATCATTTCCCAAACATCGCAAAGCCCTGCTCGCAAGGTGTCAGGACATGCTCCAGCAGGCAATCGCATTTGCCCCTTCCATAGCTAACAGGGAATGGGGGTCCTGATAAGGAACACGGATAAGGAATTATAACTGTTCTGGCTGAGGTAGGGTCCAGGCTAATTTACTTAAAAGCACCTTGGTGAGGTGAACATAATTAACCTTTTCTGTTCCCAAAATAAAGGGCTATTTTCTTTTTAAGAGATGCCCTGCATTCTCAAAGGGAATGACAGAACAAATTAATCATTTTCCATTACTCCACACACTGCACAGGGACGCTGAAAGAGCATGTGAACGGTTAATCCCTCCATATGGATGAATTTCTGGTGACAGGCAGATCGGATCTAAATAGAAATCAGGCAAAGTATTTTATTTTCATTGTCGTGGCTTTGAGATTTCATTCAAAAATAACTGAGATTAACTCTGCCCATGCTTTTAAACATGGCTTTCATAATTGATCCTTTTTTGAGCACTTAGAAACACTTTTTGGGGCTTTTTACAAAGAATTTTCCTGGCCGACTATCGCCAAAGGAGTGACTCTCCAGAATTCTTTAAAGCCATCGAAATTTCACCTGAACTATCTCTGAAGGTACCCCAACTGCCAGGCCATACTTAGCTCCCAGTACCAATAATTTGAAGTCACAGCAATATATCTTGGTAGATAGCTCACTAAAGTTGAACTCGAAGTATATAGGATATGTTCTGCTAAGGTATAACCTGAATGGCTAAAGAGAAGGGTAAGAGGGGACATGTGAATATATGAGGTCAGCTGTATAGATATTTAAAGTCAGTTTCTAAATGTGTAGCCACTGGCTGTGAAAGATGGACCATGAAAGCCAGTGGGCAAAATCCAGCTGACAGTATCATTCGGTGAGCAAATTCACCTGACATTTGCCACAACCAATTGTTTTCCTGAAACTTCAATTGCTAGAAAGGTTACTTTTTTCTTTTTTATAAATGAAAGCCACACATTCATTCAGCTGGACAACAATGAAGCTTTGTGCCCTGGTGGTTAGTACGAAAAGGAGTTAGTCTTGCCAAAGCAATCTGATATTTTGAACTTAGGTTCCCCGCCCCCACTCCCTGCCCCACTTCATTTTAACATCTCAACTGAAAGGAACAAGTTCTGTAGCCTTTACTAGACACATTAAGGAAAATAAGTAGTAAGTAGGCAAAACCATATGACTTCGGACATTTAAGATACATTATGAAAACTAGAAAACATGCAATACTCTGGAAATTGGGCAGGACTACACCACACTTATACAGAAACTGCATAGGATACTCAGTCTTTCCTTTATCCGACAAGCACTTACAAAGCACCTGCTATGTGCAAATCAAACTATAACATCACTACAACAGACTTCATTCTGCAAATGCTGACCAGATTTAGAGCAAGTATATTCTTTGGGTTCCTTAACGAAAATACTTAGGGCCACTGCAAGAGATACGTATATTGTAATTTTTCATTAACTGACTCTTTCCCCATTCATTTGGGAAATTTTAAGTATAGGAACTATGCCTTGCTGTGTTTGTACCTATGGTGTTAATACATAATAGCTGTTTAATAAATATTATATTCGGTACTACAACTGCTTCTCAGTCATCTAGTAACTTTATATATTCAGTGATATTTTAAAAACTTGCTAATGTGAAAAATCAGGTAACTTCCATTTGCTTGGGGGACAATCCCATATGCTGTCAAGTGAATCTGGGTGTGTAAGTTCTAAGACACACTCTAGATGAAATAATGAAGTTGCAACAAAAAGATTAAATTATGTGATGATTCCTGCTCCCCTCATTTTCTTGGGATAGTCTAGGACAAAACACCCATGAGAAGTACCAATTAGAAAGACTAATATCTAAGTATTTTATACTGTTTCCACCTCCACCACCAAACTTTAGCTGGAGGCCACAGGTGAGAGCTTTGATCTCTGTTATTCCTAAGAGGATGAAGACATAGGTGCTAT